TATTTTTAATGATTCGCAGTCAAAAATTATCTACTGTATCATAGTAAATTTCATGTTACCTACACTCTACCCTTAACAGGAGCCCAAATAATTGGACGATCATCATTTGAATAAAAAAGACATTCATCATGAGTGACAAATATATGCAATTTTTCATTAGCTGAAAGCTCTGGGTTGGATTGTTCCATATTATCACCATCAAAAATTGGCATAAATTTTTCATAATGTATGCAACATTTCATCCAAAAATTTTTTCCTATATTCAATAACATCTTCTCTCTCATGCCCATCAAAGTATATTCCTTTTTTCCTTTGTTGTGGTTGTAAACCAAGTTTTTTTAACCAAATTCTTGATGTAGCAACTGAAATAGTTTTGTGAGTTTCAGTCAAACCTAGTTCCGGAAATAATTTTTGTTCTACAAATTTTTTATATTCTTTAGGAGTAATTCTTCCTTTGATTTCACGAATATAAGATAAACTTTTTTCTATAACATCTTCATCATCTATAAGCGATTTGATTTTTTGGTGACAACCTTGTAATGATTTTGGCAAGCATCCATCTTTGATCCAACATTTTGCCAAATGTCTAATTTGTTGTGCTTTGTATGGACCTTTATCATAAACTACTTTTGCAGACTGCAGGCTTGCCTCAATTTTGGTTAAATTTTCATTTACACAACCTTCAAAAAATAATTGCAAGGATTTATATCTCAAATAATCATATGCAGTTATCTTCTTTAAATCACTTGACAGTATATTTTTAAGATCAGTTAATTTAGGTTCAAGTGAATTATCATTTTCAACTTCAAAATCACTTCCTTCATCAGATTCACTGGATTCACTTGATTCACTTTCACGTTCTGAGTCATTCTCTCCTTCCAAATTATCCAATTCACTCATTGTATTTTCTTCATCTAATTGATTAATCTCTACATCAATGTTCATGTCATCTTCATTTTCCATTTCATTTCTTGTGCCACTGCTTTCACCTTTAGATTCAGTAGGAAAAAAAAGGGTTATTGGTTGTGAAAAACTTGCAGCTTTAGTGTATTTTCCTGAAGGGCCATATTTTTTATAATAGGTTGCTCTAGATTTTCCAGTATAGGATTTTTTCCCTTTAATATCTGCTTCTTTAGTCCATATTAATTTTTTTGATTCACTTAATTGTTGTAATTTTTCAGCAACAAAATCATCATCTGAACTATCTTCAGAATATTCACCACAAGAGGGCAAGTATTCATCATCACTTTTAGTAGTAAATGTAAATTGACCTGTATCTGAATTTTGGTTTTGTTTATCATTTCTGTTTTTGGCAGCAGCTGATTTAGAAGATTTTCGAGGCATTTTTAGTTGTAACTAGAGTAGTGAGTAACAGATCAATAATCACCACCGCAGTTGTATGAAATATTTATTAGGATTTTTTTATTATTA